TCTCACCATATCACACTCTTGCATTATCCCGCCTGTTGAACATACAAATAATGTTGGGCCTTCCGATGCTGGGGTACCTGTGTCGCATCGCTGTGAAGAGGGTCCGATAAGGAAAGAAGAGTCGCCACCGTTCGTTATTTATCCCAAAGAGAGGGAATGGAAACGATCAGGGAAAACCTACGAAAAAGGGGAAAGACAGGTCATCGCAACCAAATATCGGGTTCAGGAGTCAATTACGCAAGGGGAAGGTATGAGCACCCCTCACGTCCGTCGTACTCGACGGGATCCACGCTTGTTATCTATCTAAAGGGTGTTTATCTATCTAAGCTATAGGCTATAGGACAAAAGAAAAGAAAAGAGACTCGATAGAGCATCGTCGCTCTATGCCTACGTACTCCCTCGTGCAATGGGACAGTCAGAGTCAACGTAGTTCGAAAAACTACGGGTGAAGGTGGAGGAAGGTTGCTCGCTAAGACATCGTCGTCTTGTGCCTATGTATCCTCGTCTGCTACGAGAAATCAGAGCAAACGTAGTTCGGGCTGACACGACCACATATTGGTTCAAGTGTTTTACCCGAGTAGGGTTAAACCTTAGTTCTAGCAGTTAGATGTATTGCTGCTCGACCATTAGAGACTTAGGCGTTACCTGTTTGCAGTAGAACCAAGAGTTAACAACACTCTTTTTATGAAAATGATTTTCAATTAATCCCGAAGGATAAAAAGGTTTAATGTTTGTTTTAGAGTCTTTTATGAAGAATAAGTGAATTGAATTGTGTTTGTAATTCATGTTGCACTAAAGACTATGACTTAGAAGCGAATGCGTCGCATATCGTCCAAAGGACATACGCTAAACACTATAGACATTTGAGAGGAGTCCCCCCAAACATCATTTCCCAAGTACTTAAGGCTCGTAGCGTACAACACTTATTATTCTTTATTAGATGTTTTGAAGAAGTTTTGAGATGAGGAGAGAGGACACAAGACTAAGGGGAAACTAACTTAACCATAATGTTATCATGCAATGTGCTCCTATGATTGAGATTAAGAGGGGAAAATCTACCCTAATGTTAGCATGTTTGGATTGAACACTTAATGTCTCTCCTACTCCCCAAATGGACTAGGAATCCTAAGGGATCATGGCAAAGTAACCAAGAAAATACAAGATAAATCAATCATAAGTGAAAGGGAATAGAGGGATGCAAACATGAAATGCAACACAAAGAAAAAAGGGAGGAAAAAAGTGTAGGGCAACAACCACCACAAGCACATCTCAACCTCTTGAATTCAAGCAAATAGATGTAAAACAAAACAAAATGCAAGCAAAAAGATGAACACTCATCACTTTGAACAACAACTACAAAAGTATGCATTCAAGTGAAATCGAACATGCATGTCGAAGAAATCATGATTAAACAATCAAGAACAATAACACAATATCCAAAACATCTCACTCCTAATGCATCATACTGATCCATGAGAATTCTAAATGAAATGACATCAAAACAACCTTGAAAAACAGCAGAGCAGGCCTGCTGGCACAGTGTTAATCGGTTAGCACCAGGGGTTAACCGATTCACCAGTTGAAAATGTTTGAAAATTTGAATATTCGCACTGGTTAATCGATTAACCAGTTTGCACTGCATCTGGTTAACCGATTAACACTATACCAGAAGTAGAAAACAGCAGCCCAAAAGCACTTTTCAGCAATTAATCACTTCTCCAATGATCCAATTAATCACATAATCAATTATGCACGAAATTAACATCAGAAAACAGTGATCCAATAGCATGTAAACACATTCAAACAGCACGATCACAAATCATATGAATCAAAATTAACCAAATCAATCAAAAATGAAGATCAACATGATGATTATACAAATAAGCTCGAAAACCGAATCAGATCTAGAATTTCCAACCTATAAAGCGGAGATTTGCTTTGGTGAATGTTGATTTACTCCGAATGAATAGATCCAAGCAAGAAATCCGGAATTCCTTCAAGATCCAAGTGAGTTCTTGTAGTAGCAATGAAGATCCACCAAAGTTAAGCAAGAATTATCCAAATAAGCTCCTCTAGATCAACTTCAAAATTCAAATCCACAATAGCACAAAATTTGAATGGAGAATTGGAGATGATAAGGATGAAGGATGAAGGTTTTAGCTCTAGAATTCAATGATTCCAATGGAGAATCAAAGAATTCAAGGTGAGAAGAGCTTTTAGTGAAGTTTGGGAGATGGAGAAGTTGAGAGCAAAACTCAAAGAGTGAAAGTGAATTCTGAAAATAAAATGGAATTATGAGGATTGTGTGTGTGAGGTTTGGAGCAAATCATTTAAATATGCTCTTGGTTAGGATCCAAATGTGGTTTGGAGTGTGGTTTGTGAAAATTGGAATGAGATTAGGAGTGAGAAATTGGAGGGAATGTGAATTAATTTGAAAACTAATCAAAATTCAAAGTGGTTCTAGATCCTTCTTCTGGTGTAAAATCAATTTCTCAAGTAATCAAAATGGACCCCAAAGTGACCTCTATTGAAAATTCACGTACAGAGGCAAAATTTGCCTTGGTTAATCGGTTAACCATGTGGGTTAATCGATTAACACCTTCAAAAATTCAAATTTGACCTTATTTTGACTTGGTTAATCGGTTAACACCTTTAAAATTTGAATTTTGGCGCCTTTTGGAGGGAAATCTGCACATTTGCCCGTTTTCATCCATTCTAAGCCCTGTTTAGCCTCTGAAACTTGTTCTTGAATACTACAACCATGAGAATGCTTGAGATAGCCTGAATGCTGCCTCTTGATATGAAAATATCCTACAAAATAAAATAAAATCGACCGCTCGATTGCTGGGCAAAATAAATGCCGAAGCTTCTGATGCTTGTTATTCAGTCTCTTGCAACAAAAGGAACCCTGAGCCACAGGAAAACCTTGATCCCCTGCCTCACGAACAAATGCTATGATATGCAGCAATGCACAAATGCAACGAAACATAAGCCAAGTACAAGAAATGGTTGGTCAAATTTTGGGGTACAACAACCTGTCAATGATGTTCCGTCGTCGTCGCCGCCACCACCACCAGTTGATGTCGATGACAAATATCGCCTCCAGATGATTGTAGTTATTATGGTTAATCTAATGGGTTTCGTAAACCCAGACGGTGAGGTTTTTGGTGGATTATCTCAGGCGGAACACATAACTCATGGGGGATCTATTTAGACATTAATGTTATCTTTATGTATTATTTGTATATTACATGTAACGTTACTCAGACATCTTCATAAGAACTTTTTATTAGAAAAAGTTTTTGGTCTTCCACTGATGCAAGATAAACATAAATTAACATTTGATAATGAATTACATAACTTAAACATAACTTAAGAAAACAATAATAAATAAGAAAACCTAGACTGCTAGATGATTCTGGACGTTTCATCATCTTAATTATGTAATCGGCAAACCTTTAAATGTCTGCATCTAATTTGATCGACCCCTTTGTTAACTTACGACAAAATGATCTCCACATAACTGTCACATCTTCATCAGTCTTCAACTTAATAAGGTTGAATTTCACAATTCGATTAGTATCAATTCAATCTTCACGAAACTCGATCTTTCTCACATTCTTGTTATCAGTATCAAACAATAATTCATTCAACTTGGATGTCAAGACGGCGAGAGATCTGGTGTCATCTGAAAGCCGAAACTATATGAGAGGTGAAGCTCCATTGAAACACACACCTGTCTTAATAAAAAACTGAGAAAAATGCATTTTGAGATGTTTTTCTCAAACAACATGTGACCCATATTATTTATACAACTTTGTAATTTTTCTGGACCACACAAAACGGTCGCTGCAATCACAACCGTCCAAAATTATCGACAAAATTTCGACTATATAAAATTTCAAACAAATTAAATTGTTAGAAATTTCATTTTGGTTGAAATTTCTAATATAACATAATATTTTTAACATTTTCGATAATTATACAAACTCACGCAAATTTCAAAAATTCTAATATATTAAAAATTTTAAATACATTGAAAATTTTGTACGCAAATATATTTAATTTTTTTATTTTGTAAAAAACAGTTATGAAATTATGGGAACTCAAGTGTGGGTGACACCTTAAAACCCCGAATATCAGGGATGCATGGTTGCCTGAAAAGTCCCGCAACATGAAATCCATTTTCTAAAATTGAGCTTTGTTTTGATAATAAAGTAAAAAACACAACATTTAAATATAGAGTATTAGAGTCTATATTATAGACAATTCCCATGATATTCATAAAAATTAATTAGCAATTAATTTACTGACTGGCAACACTCGATGCTCGCAACACGTGCCTATCAATAGAAAACGGTGCTTTCATCGGGCGCGTTGCATATATTGTGAATTTTGTCACCGGGGAGCTGTAAGATTTAGTCATATGTCCAAAAACTCAAATTTCATCACTTTACCTTAATCACGTGAAATCTTCCAAAACTAAATCAAAACATGATTAATCTTAATCAAGTAATTAATTTCAAATAAAAACTCGATTAACCGACAAATAAATAATCTTAATAATCAAATCAAATCAAATAGTATAAAATTCACACAAATCTTTAAAATCCCACATAAGATTAGATTCGTACTTTCTTAATGAACCTCTCACTCCCGTGAGTAAAATAATCCACCGCCGCCTATATCCCCGGCGCCCCACCGTCGCCGGCAACCTCTCTATCACTCATGCTTTGCTTGCTTCCCCTATAACTTTTTTTTTTCCATTTTTCGGATTCAGTTAAAAAAATTAGAATTTTTTTTTTCACAATCGCCAAAAAAATAATTCAACCACCGTGTTCTGTTTCGCTTGCTTCACACTCTTCTTCAACCACTCACCAAAAATCAACACTAACCCCATACACTCTTAACTCTGAATCTTTGAACTAGTTTTAGAGAGAGAATTTCTAGAGAGAGAAATTCTAGAGAGAGAAACAGTGTTATTGTGTCTGTGTTATGGTATGGCTCAGCAGAGGCAATCGGGAACGGAGAGGCTTGGGGTGAGGTTAGGGTCTCACGATCTACACATTACCAATGGCTCCGGTGATCATGTTGCCGTTGGGATTCGCGGCGGTGTTAGTCATAAGCAGCTACGGTTTCGGAGATCGGCGCGATCAGACAGAGTTGCTCATTTCTCGGTGTTTGCGATTTTAATTTTCCTCTTTGTCGTACTTGTTGTAACTTTCCTGGCGTTTTCTTACATTTCTAAAGAAGGTGAAGTTCTGTTCTGAGTTCCAATTTTCCAATTAGTGTTTTCTTTTGTGTCATAATATCACAATGGGTTTTCCTTTTTTGGACTTGTTGAAATCAGCATTGTGGATTTTGCTAGATTTGAGTATGGTTTTTTGTTTGGTTGTTAGGTGAAGTTGTCAGTGAGAACTGAGAAATGGTGTTTGAATCTGTTGATTTTCATTGGTTTATGGCTAGGTTTGGGGTTTTGAATTGGGGTTTAGTTATTTGGGGACTTAATAGGGTGTTTGCTTAATCATGATTGATTATACACTTTGTTGTTTTAAAGTGAATTTTGTTTATGTTGTTTTAAGATTGTTAATCTGTGGTTGCAGAAATAAGTAACAATGGTGGTGGTGATACTGATGATATAAAAGGTGATTCTGATTTTCTTACAAATGTACCAAGGATACAGAAGAAAGTTCTTGATTTTGGGCATAGTTCTGGGGGACATGGCCGAGATTCGAGATATTGGGATAAGGATGATAGGAGAAGGGATGGTGATTATGATGAGGATATGAAGGAGCAGATAAGTAGGGATCTCGGAGATGTAATTACCGAAGATGATGCTCCTGGAAAGACGAATCACGATATCAAGTTTCCTCAAGATGGTTCTCATATGGGTGTAAAGCGGAAAGGTGATGGCTTGTATAATGAAGCGGGACGTCATGAATTGAAAAGATATGAAGCAGAATACGAGGCTTCTTTGAAGAATGCGAGACACTCCACTGAAGGTGATGGGAAATTGTCGCAAAACGTTGACATGAAAAAGAAGAATACGGTAGTTGACATTGATGATGACTATGATGACTTTTTCGATTCTGATACACCAAGTTTGGACACTGAAGTTCAGAAAGAATCTCATGATTCTTTGGATGTGGGAGATAATGGTGATATTGCTTCTGAGGAGGATAATGACGGGGAATCTTCCAATAACAAAACAAACTCTCGTGGTGGAAAAACGAATTCTAGACCTGCAGGTATTATAAATGAAAAAACTAACAGAAAATCACGTCCTGAAACAAAGAGGAAAGGCAAGCATCGCAAATACTCAGGTGAAGCTTATTCTTCTCGACAAACATCTATTGTTGTATTCTATTAGCCACCTTTGGAGAGTTATTTGCATTTGTTTTAGGTATTATTATTTATTACCTCATTAGTGCTATTCATGATTCACAAAGAGTAGAATTGGTAATGACTTTTGTTACTTCATCTTATTGATGCTTAGGGACTAAAAATATATCAGGAAATGAACATTGCAAACACTGTACCTTAGTGTTACTTGCATAGTTGCATTTATATATATTCCATCTGAGCCTTTGGACTTTTCAATCGGTAATGATTTATCTCCAATCTAGTGAATACTTTGAAACCTCTGTTTCAGTCAACATATAGCTCATTAATTTGGTTCCTTCAGCCATTTTGCAGTTATAGCAGGGATGGAAACAACCTCGAGTTTTCTATTAAAAGATGCCATAGTAATTGTTTAAACATTCTGATTGAAAAAAAGGAAATGTTTACATTCAAGAAGTCGGGACCATTGCTTCTTTGTTGCATGGTCTCTCCTAGTTTTCATTTAGTTTTTTCAATTTTTTTAAAAAAGTACTGGACACTGAGAAACTTAAGTAGGTTTTCGTTGTTTTGAGCTCTTATCATTTTGTTCCAAGCTTACATAGTTTGTACTATTCCTACTTAATCTCTTTAAATGATTTTGTATTTCTCTTCCACAAAATGGTCACATGTTTTGTTTAGAATTACATTAACTGGCAAAGTGAATCAATAGAAATTGAGTAATGACGTCATTGTTTTTGCTTACCTGCTTTATTATGCCATTTGGTGTGCTAGAGAATACCAGTTCACTAATTATCTGTCTATTTTCACATTATACTACAACAACAACAATCAAGCCTTATCCCACCAAGTGAGACCTACATGGATCAACTTTCGCCATAATGTTCTATCCATAACCATGCTTCTATCCAAATCGTTAATCTCGATATCTTTCTTAATGACTTCTCTTAGTCTTTCTAGGTCTTCCTCTTCCTCTAATTGTTTGACTTCTTTCCATTTGATCTACTCTTCTTCTATTTCCACATTATGATGTAATAAATTTTAATTTACCTAGAATGCAATTTTCTGATCAGAATGCAGTTTTTCTAAATATGACCACTTTATACCTACTCACGGATATTCCATGCGTTTTAAGATGAGCGCGTTTTTGGTTTTTAGACACATCAAGAAATACAATAAATAGAAGAGAATAATAAATTTACCAAATTATCCTCATTAACTATGGTGTATTTCCCACTCTCATAAATGTAAAGTGGAATATAATGTGCATTGTATTAATTAGAGTGTATAATTGAAAAAAATTAAATATTACATTGAAAACTTAGATGATTTTCATTTTGAAGAAATTTTTTTGTTTGTTTAAGTGACACTCATTTTGAAATGGAGGTAATATTTTGCATCCGCCACATATATTTTGGTGATGGAGATAGGGACTTGAGTATTAGGAAGTATCTGATATGATACTTGGGCCTTATAGCCTATGGTGAGCTAAGCATTGAGGCAAATCTGCATAAGCCCAGATTCTGGAAGGATTACACGAAGGAAAAGTAGGTAGGGCCAAGGCGAGAGAATCAGCAAGTGAGGTGTATGCCAACCTCATGTGAGTTGGTTATAAGAGAGAGGGGTCAGGTAGTGGAGAGGGTATTCCGAAATATTGATAGAGTTGGTTAGGAGACAGAGGGCTAAGTTGAGCATGGAAAGTGTGACCGTTCACTGGTTTAACTTCTTACATGAAACAGAGGGTGATCTGATCTGGCTCAAACTGAAGCAAGCAATTATTGAAAGATGTGGAGGAAGGGCGAGTGATAATCCATTTGAAGAGTTGAAGAAAATGGCACAAGTTGGGAGTGTTGACGAATGCATAACGGGTATGTTTCGTCGTAGGTAGGTCATCTCCCAAAGGAGCAGTACTTGGTGTACTTTGTTGGAGGGCTTCGTGGAGATTCAATTGAAGATTCGTGAGAAATGTTGGGACAGATATTTGAGGGATGATGATGTCTCAGAGTAACAGTAGAGGTAATGTGTGTCGATGGAGAGGGGGTAATTCGGACTCTGGGCCACACGGTAATGGAAATTTCGGGGTGCCAGTAAGCGAGGCCCAAACAAAGGGGATTTTGGACTCAACCCGTCTTTTGAGTAACCAACCCAAAGAGGGTCGGTTCAGTTCCAACACTAATCAGAATCAAACGCTGTAAACGAGGCGGGGGTAATCGCAAAGGGGGAACACAGATCGTAATGGAGGAGTCAAACATCTTCCGTATTCTAAGCTCAAGGGTTGCAGGGCTTGTGGCCTCTGTTTTTGGTGTGGGGAGCACGATTGTCCGATGCACCAGTGCACCGAGAGCAGCTGTGTGTGGTGATTTTGGATTACATTGAGGCCTTAAATGAAGACAAAGTGATAGTGATTGAGTAATGGCTGGAATACAACTTCATGGGTTTGTTTGGAACCACGGGGATCAACATATTCAAGTGCTCCGAGCCTACCTCCTTGAAATGGAGGGGAAGCTTAATGGGGTACCAATGATGATCTTAGCGGACACCGTGCAAGCCACTATTTTATTTTGCCTAGAGTGACAACAGCGCTGTGTGTAAAAGAGTGGAGAAGCACCGGACTATGAGGATAGGATTGAGTGATGGCCACAGGGTGCCTGTCGACGATGGGGAAGTGCACAAATCTGGAGGTTCAGTAGAGGGTTTCACAACTGAGGTTGATGCCTATCATTGTATGTATTTGAATTAGGCGATCTGGATATGGTTTTGGGAACGGCACTGGAGATGGCTGGACAGTTGCTGACTCATTACGAGAGCCATAAGGGGATGGAAGACATTCAAACCAAATCACAGCCATGCCCATTACAGAGCTTGTAGAGAAAGGAAGCTAGAGAGGTTGTAGCAACTGCAGAACATGGGTTGACCAAGAAACAGAGAGCTGAACTTCAGAAATTTAAGGGTCACATTGCTGCAACTTTTCAAATTGCTGCAATTTTTCAGGAGACAATTCAGAGTATGCTGGAACAGGAAGTAATTGGGCACTATTCAAGTGCTTATAATAACCCAGACTTCCTAATTTCAAGGGAGACACTAGGGGAGGTGTAAAAAAATAGTTGGTGAACTGGAAAGAAAGGAAGCCAATTTCTAGGGTGAACTGAGAAATACTCGAGAGCCAATTTCTTTCCCTCTCAGCCTTGAGGACAAAGTCTGCTTCTGCAGGAGGAGGCAGTGATAGACACTTGGGTCTATGGCCCATGGTGAGCCAAGCATTGGGATAAATCTACATAAGCCCAGCTTCCGGAAGGATTGCACGAAGCGAAAGGTGGGGCCAGGAGAGAGAATAAGTCAGGTAGTGGGTGTGCACCAACCTCAAATGAGTTGGTTATTCGAGAGTGGGTTGCGTAGTAGAGTGGGTGTTTTGAAATATTGTTAGAGTTGGTTAGGAGAGTTTTCTCTCTGGTTAGAAGCATTGTGCTCTGGTGAGGAGTTCTAGAACTCTGGTTTATCTTTTTCATTTGTGATTACATAGTTTTAAAAGCCTCTAGGCTCATCATTTTCATTCAATAATATATACACACTTACCTGATTCAGTTTTACTAGTCTGATTAGGGTCCTAGCCCCTCATGAAGTATTATGGGTTGCTTGGTGGAGTATTTAAGTGGCTTGGTTCTTCTCTCTTCTTGTTAGCTAGCTTTTAAGGGAGGGTTCCCCAAGTGCTTGGATACTTGTCAAAGTGCTTGTATAATTGTTTATCATATGAAAACATCAAGAAGCTTTCCAACATTTTGAATATTTGATAATATTTTAAAATTATAACGTTTTTCTTATTTAAATAAACATCTGGTTTAAACTGGCTCCATAAAAATCTGTATGGACATGGTCTATATGGATTAGTTTTTACTTTTTCCTCCATGCTGTCACCATGTTTTCTCATGGAGTCATGTGTTAAATCTGGCAGATTAATTCTAAAACTAGTTTTTAAACAATTCAGTATATTGCTCAGTTACAACCTGTTCCAAGTTTATGCAGGTATACTTCCTCAGTTTCAAAATGACTGTCGTTTTAGTTTTAGCAAATAAAACTTGTTTCAAAATGAATGTCATTCTCACTTTTCAATGTAGATATGGTTGCTATATTTCCAATCGTGTCCATTAATTATTACTCTGCACATTACTCTCAATACATTTATAAGATTAATTAGTAAAAGTGTAATGTCTTATGACAATATTATTACATTTCTTAATTTGTGTGCAAAAACCTTAAACGACAGTCATTTTAAAACTGAGAGAGTATCTAATTGCTCATTTTGATATTTCCTTTATACTTGCATTATCCGAAAAAAATAAAATTAAAATAAAACAAATGTTAAAGCTGTGTAACCTGTTTGCTTGCTTGTCACCTATTTTACAGGTTCCTGTGAGATGAAGTTGTTAAACTCAACTTCACTACTTGTAGAACCGCTAGAAAGTCGAAAATTTGCAAGGTTTAGCTTACAATATGTAGAGAAAGAAGAGAAGCCACTGGAAGTAGAACAATGGAAGCCAAAATTTGCTGGGCATCAGAGCTTAGAAGAAAGAGAAAATTCATTTTTGGCACGTGATCAAAACATAAAATGTGGTTTTGTTAAAGGTCCTGAAGGTTCACCCAGCACTGGATTTGACATGTCAGAAGATGATGAAAGTTACATTAGCAGATGCCACATTGCTGTGATTTCATGCATATTTGGAAATTCTGACCGCTTGAGGATCCCGGCCACCAAGACGGTAATGGTTAATCTTTCAATAAATATTGTATTTTGACTTCCGTTCAAGAAAAAATGACGGTGCAATTTATTTTGTGCTGCATTGAATTATTCCAATCTAAATCTACCCGTGAATTTCATTTTAATATTGTCCCAAAGTCTCTTTGGCGATTGATATCAATTGTTTTCATTTGGACATGGTTGGAAGCTTATATATTTTTTACGCATTACCGCATGATCTATTTGTAATCCTTGGCCTTTCTTGAAATTTAATTCTGTTAGCATTGAATGTTAGTAATAGTTTTGTAAGTAAGTTGCAACTATTAGAATCTCAAGGACAAGATGCATGTGTGTGACCAACTATCAACCATCAGTCCAATTGCTATAGTGTGTTTTACTACATTAATCTTTGTTATTTTGATTTCAGATCACTCGATTGTCAAGGAAGAATGTCTGCTTTGTTATGTTTACCGACGAAGTTACAGTAAGGACACTTTCTTCTGAAGGCCATGCTCCTGATAGAATGGGTTTCATTGGCTTTTGGAAGTTAGTGGTTGTGAAGAACCTACCTTATGATGATATGCGGCGAGTGGGCAAAATACCGAAGTTATTGGCCCATCGACTTTTTCCATTTGCAAGGTGAGTCCAAATTTGATTTTTACAATATTAATTTGGATGATGTTTTAGTCACGGTAACTGCTAAGTGGTCTTATACACTAAGACAGGTATGTTAATAATGTGTCGCTTTAAGATAAAATGGTGAAAAATTCTTTTAGCTGTTTAAGATTCTTTTATTATACATTAGACCAAACCATTAGTGTCTGAAAGAGAAAGGTAAAGTAGGAACCCAAGAGTGTTATAATAATATAGATAACTGATTTTTATGCTTATGCATTTCTTTGAAATTTGTTTCAGGTATTCAATTTGGCTGGATAGCAAATTAAGGCTGCAGCTTGATCCTTTACTCATCTTGGAGTACTTCTTGTGGCGAAAGGGTTATGAATTTGCAATATCCAATCACTATGATCGGCATTGTGTATGGGAAGAGGTAGCACAAAACAAGAAATTGAACAAGTATAATCATACAGTTATAGATCAACAATTTGCTTTTTACCGCGCTGACGGACTGCAAAGATTCAATGCATCAGATCCAAAAAAGCTTCTTCCAAGCAGTATGTTCTTTTGACAATTTCTTTGTGTCAATTCAACGAACTTGTTGGCTATTAAATGTACTATCACTGACTTCTTAATGATATACACATTTTTTCTTGACAGATGTTCCAGAAGGTTCTTTTATTATTAGGGCTCACACCCCTATGTCAAATTTGTTCAACTGTCTTTGGTTCAATGAAGTTGAGCGATTTACTCCTCGTGATCAGCTAAGTTTTGCATATACTTATCAGAAGCTGAGAAGGATGAATCCTGATAAACCTTTTCATCTTAATATGTTCAAGGTGAAGAAACTTATACACAGTTTCTTATATATGGTTCTTTTCTCCTATATTAGATTATACTATAGGATTGTAGAGGGATGAAAGTACTTGTTATGTGCCAACATAGGTTGTTTATTTGGTAAAGATTCAATTCATATCTCTCAAGGACTTGAATTTGAATCTCCTACCAAGACCTCGCGTGTGGGTAATATGTAAGTACTTTTGTCGGCGTTCTTTTTGTCAGTTCTCAGAGTCATGGTTTTTCTTGTCTTTTGATGCACAGGACTGTGAAAGGAGACACATGGCCAAGTTATTCCATCATAGGATGGACGAGAAGAGGATTACACATCTAAAAGCAACTGAATAAAGCGGGTTTCTTATTAACATTTTTATCCCTATAGTAGGCTTGATATAATGTACATGGCCATCCTCTTCCGTATTTGTTGAACTTATGCTAACCATATGCTGCAGAGTTCATTTCACAGTTCGGCCGACTTGATGATTCATTCAGAATTGAACTGTCTCAAACTACAATCTACACTGATGCCGTGTCATCCATGTAACCTAATTTTTCGGTTATGTTTTATCATATGGTTCATATTTCTTGTATCCATCAATTTGTTGTGACAGAATTCATTATGCCTTGGGAGACAAGCAAAGCATCAAATCAAACCCCTACCGGTCACTTCCACGACCACAGCTCCCGCTCATATTTCATTTCTAAATTCAAAATTGAGATTGTTTGTATGTAGACAATTTTGATAGGTCATTCACACTCATGTTAGAAATATACCTCTTGATTCTTGACCCATTGATTTTATTACTTAAATATTTCACTTGCTTGCATGGATGGGTTACACACAACTCTGAATCTGATTTGTTTATATGACGTTGATCTTTGTTAAAGTCTAAAATGCCATTTTCGAAACCCCCACCAAACTACACAGCTTTCTTTTCTGCCAATACTCAGACTGAGTTTGGTGGCTGTATCAGAGACTAGTTAGGAAAGTAAGAGTTTGTGGTGGCCTACACCGGCAGGACTCTTCATCTCGTCCCAACTACCTAAAAAGGACGGGGCTTTAAGTATTCTCACAACTATGATGTGTGGGTTCTACATCAGGAATGATGGGGCTTTAAGTATTTTCACAACTATGATGTGGGTTCTACATACAGGAATGAAGAAAGTTACAGTCGAAAGCGACTTCAAGATTATAATTCATATTATTCAAAGTTCTTATGTCGTTTTTAGGTCTTTAATTAGGAATATTAAGATTCTTATTTCAATTAATTCTAATTTTGTTAAATTTGTTTGGAGACAAGCGAATTTAGTGTTCATATACTCCAGTAAAGGTGACCAGTTTCTGGGTTAGTCACCAAATTTTCCCCACCTATTTGTATAAGGCAAATGCCATTTGGATTGACATTTGTTTTGTCGAATCCAAGCCAACGAGTTAACTACTGACATGAATTTAATTTTGACCCAAATGAATTAGGAATAGCAAATCTGGTGTTGTGAATAAATTGATGGTTCTGTTGTTCCTGCACGGCAGTGCCACCTCATCACGGTCATACAAGACCAATATGATGATGTCGATTTCATTGTTCTGGCACAACCACTTTATGTTGTCGTTTCGGCACAACGAAGTCAACTTCATCATTCCAGCCCTATCCGTCGTTCTGGCATGATTGCTTTACGCCATCGTTTCGGCACAATGAACTTTATCATTCTCGCACAACGACGAGGGTAATTAGACACGTTACGAATTCCTGTATGCACTCTCCTTCTAGGCTATCGAAAATCACTTGGATAAAGAAAATATGGAAAATATATTGATGTGAAGCAACACTGTTTTAAAATGGAATTGGGGTAAGTCATGTAGCTTTTGCTACATACAAAATTGATTTTGTCTTGTGAGAGGTATTAAATTTGCAAAGTTCACTTTGTAAAAATGACTTTTCAAACAAACTTGGAAACTGAAATATCTATTAGCATGATATTTCTCTTTTTGTTTTTTCTGTTTCTCTTTAAATTATATCAACAATTTCTAATGTGAATATGTTGTCAAAGTGTTGTTGTAACTAGTTTAACCACTCTCTATGTGAAAATGTTTCAGCCAGAGTTATATGGATAAACTTATCTAACAATTATTATTCAAACAAATATGTTTTTCTTGGCAAAATTCTAACATTGTGTTTTTTTTTAAGTATCTTGTTTGTGAAGGACTTAAAAAAGATGGTTGGATTTTGATGGACGATCTTTGTATTGGTAAAAAATACATGCGTGTATGCTACTTCTGCGGAGGGTAGATATGCTCAGAGGTATCAGTAGGTAAATTATACTGTATGGTGGTTAGGGTCTGCCCTTGAAGGTCAGAAGCCCTGCATTTTGTGGTGGCTTAGAGGTTCCGCTCACACGAGGTGAGAGACTCTGGTATTGAATGACGTGCTTAGGTATAAGCGTATACAAGTTGTGATATGTATGACATAAGATTTGTCTCCCTTTGGAGGAGAGTTATTTATAAAGACTTTAGGCCTAGGTTTCTTTGGGGGAAGGTCACCATCTAACTAGTAGATTGTGGATCGTTGAATCCCTATTTTCAAAGAGGATGTGTGTCAGTTATTACCAAAGATAATTTTTCTTATCTTATTGATAGATGAGCATGTACTCTTAAATATAATACAATGTAATTAGAAAAGGAAATTCCTAATAAGTACTCATCATTACCCTTAGTCAATTCTATAATTAAGGCCAATAATTTCTATAAATGCATACACATTATTCACATAATCAAGTCCTATTTATGGGACTTAAGTTCTATTTAAATATAAAATATACAGCTAATTAACACATGTACAACTGGTTCTGACACTCCCCCTCAAATTGGAGAATAGATGTTAGCCATTTCCAACTTGTCAATGATAGATTGAAATGTAGAACCACTTAATCCTTTTGTAAGAACATTTGTCCGCTGATTTCTAGATTATACAAATGGTATATATATATATATATATATATATATATATATATATATATATATATATATATATATATATATATATATATATATATATATATATATATATATATATATATATATATTGTCTCACTATCCAATTTTTTCTTGATGAAATGTCTGTCTACTTCGACATGCTTCGTTCTATCATGTTGCACTGGATTATATGCAACGTTTATTGCTGACTTGTTGTCACAATATAGCTTTATGGGTCCATTCCATTCAATCTTTAGGTCATGTATAATTATTTTCAGCCATAGGAGTTCACAATACCCAAAGCCATAACCCGAAATTCTGCTTCAGTACTTGACCTCGCAACAACATTTTGTTTTTTGCTCCTTCAAGTCACCAAGTTTCCTCCAAAAAAAGTATGATATCCGAATGTGGATCTTCTGTCACCTACAGATCCAACATAGTCAGCATCTGTATAGGCTTCCAAAGTAATTCCTTGACTCTTTGTAAATTGAATTCCTTTTTCAGGAGTACCTTTCAAGTACTGCAAAATTCAGTAAACAAGTCTAAGATGATTTTCTTTGGGATTATGCATGAATTGATTTACCACTCCTACTACATAAGCTATGTATGGCCTAGTATAAGATAAATAGATTAAATTCCAACCAACTTTTGATAGGATCCTCTGTCCACGGTTGCATCTTCAACATATTCGCTAAGTTTGTGATTTTGTTCAATTGGAGTTTCTCCTGGTTTGCATCCCAATTTATCAGTTTTAGATAATAAATCCAACACATATTTCCGTTGATAGATGAAAATACCATGACGAGAATGTGCCATCTCAAGGCCCAAAAAATATTTTAATCTGCCTAACTCTTTTACTTCAAACTCTTTTAGTAAACACACTTTAGGCTATCCATTTCTGCTTGATGATTTCCCATTACAATTATATCATTCACATAAGCAATCAGTGCAGTAATTCCCCTTACGGTTGAATGCTTAGTAAATAAAGTGAGATCTCCCTGACTTTTTTAATATCCCATAATTTTATCACAATGGTAAACCTGCCAAACTAGGACCTAGGGGACTGTTTCAGTCCATAAAGGGCCTTCCTTAACTTACAAACTTTGCCTTTCTCAAAGTTAAACCCAAGTGGGACCTCCATGTAAATTTCTTCTTCAAGGTTTCCATGTAGGAAAACATTATTGACATCAAATTGCTGCAAATTCCATTCACAATTAGCTGCAAGAGATAACAGAATTTTGATAGTGCTCATTTTTGCAACGGGAGAAAAAGTCTCATGATAGTCAATACCACAGTTAGCTACTAGTCTTGGTTTATACCTTTCTAGTGTTCCACCAGCCTTGTATTTAAGGGCAAATACCCATTTACAACCAATAAGTGTTTTGTCTTTAGGAAGCTCTACCAACCTCCAAGTTCTATTTTACTCTAGTGCATCCATTTCGACTTTCATAGCTTCTCTCAACTATTTGCTATGTAGTGCTTCGTTAACAGTTTTTGGGATAGTGGTAGTGTTTGAATGAGAAAGAAAACTTTAATGATTGTTAGACAAATTATCATAGGATATAAAGTGAGACAATGGATACTTTGGCCTTTTTATACATGCTCTAGCATCCTTCCTTATTACAATTGGAAGATCTTTAGCATCCATAGATATACCCTGCTCCTCTAAAACAAACCCATGAACTTTAGTTTTAGGGGTATTCTTCTCCTCTAAAATAGTCTCACTAATTACAGTCTCAGGAATTGGGTCAGATTCAGGGATTTGCATAATTTGGATAATAGGTGTTAGCTTTCCTGTGTAAATTTATAGTGGAAGAGTATCATTAGGAGTATGTAATAAAGTGGTTATAAAACTTGGCTCAGGGGTCTTAGGCATAAGAGAAAGGTCTTTGAACAAATCATCCTTATCTTCAATGCATTGCTTCTCTCCCTGAAGATAAGGTTTGGAAAAATAAGATTCAATTTCGAAAAAAGTGACATCAATAAACATAAAATTCTTTTTAGTTGTAGAATGATAACACTTGTAACCTTTTTGGGTAGGGGAGTAACCAAGAAAATGCATTTAATAGCTCGAGGATCATTTTTTCCTCGATGTGGATAATGAACATGGACAAATGACACAAATCCAAGGGTCCTAGGAACAAGGTTGTTTGAAGTTTTAAAGTTTGGGTAGAATTTGGAGAGTAGCTGAATGGGGTTGTTATTTTGAAGAATTTGAGAGGGTAAGTGATTAATCAAATAGGCTGCAGTAAGGGCATCCTCCTGCCAATATTGTTTTAGAACATTTGTGTGGAATAAATATGCCCGGGTAACATTGATAATATGCCCAATTTTTCTTTCAACCACCCCATTTTGTTGTGGGATGGGGTGTGGACAC